ACATCAACAACTAAAACCATTTTAAGTGCTGGTTCCCACCTATTATCAATTAATACTATTTTTTTTTTTTTTTTTTTTTTTTGCTATGTACATGTGCCTGGTGTCTAAGCCAGACACCTCAACTGGATCATCCATTCACAGGGAAGTCTTCAGAACAACTGGAAAATGACCAAAAACCCATAAGCCATTTTATTATTCCTCTTTAATTTCCCCAATGACACAGACTGGTTCAGAAATATTTTACCCAAGATTAATTAAAACAGTCTGAGCTGAGTTGTGTTATTTTGTTCAAACCAGCTCAGTATACAACAGTCCATAAACCTAAAAATCTGGCATGTGCAGAACTGGAGACATGATATGAGAAAGCTCTGGGAAAGAAAGGAAGACTGTTTCATACTTGCGTAACACTAGAAAGCTTTTATTGATTTCTTCTACCTGTTATTCTAATCACAAAAATAAACATAGTATATATGTGCAAAGTAACTGAAATAATAGAATGTCTGAACAGGAATTAAAGAGATTGTGGAAATGCTTATTAGTTCCATCTTATACCAAAGGACTGCTCTCCCCTCTACCCCCTAAACAGGAAAACTTGTTCTTACTATTGAAGATAACAGAAAAATTCCACTATTTTAAAAAAAGGAGGTCTCTAATAAAGAAGTCTCATTATTATTTCTATACCAAAATGAAGGTCAAAGTGAGGAGTCATACACTGCTAGCATGGGTATGTCACATACCACATACTAAATTATGTATCCCAATTTATGACATTTTGAGGAGTGGGGATAGAGGGAGGGAAGATGTCAGCATACATGCTGCTAAGCTCTTACATAGCATACTATTCAATTTTTAACCCAGTACTGGTATTAACTGGTACACTGAGTTGCTCAAGACTAGCATTCCAGACGCAAGCATCAGTTTAATACTATTTTTTTGTGTATACATACACACACACACACACACACACACGTGTAATAAATGCACAAGAAAAAACATAAGAATTATTTTTAAACCACCTGTTAAAATGATTCTTAAGTGATGGCCAGTTTAACAGATGTTAAGCCTCTTAAAATGCCTCATTTAAAACTACATTAGCTTCTCAGCTCATCATTTTTAACCTTTTTTATCATTACCTTGAATCTTGCTGTGGGCTACTTATAGCTTCCACCCCCATGTTTAGTCACTCAGGGACACTGGATAGTAAAAATTCTTACATTTAATGCCTTCCTGCTTCTAATTTTTTCATCTTCCTGAAGCTGACTTTCTTCACAACAAACACGCCATCTCTTTTTCGCATTGCTGTGCTATGAAGCAGTTTCCCTTTGGTGAAGTTTAACTAGGAGCAGGATAAGTGAGTACATATATTTCCACTTCACTCTTCGCACATTTGGTGAACACCTTTCTTTCTTTCTTTATTTATTTATATAACAGGGTTTTAACACAGCATTTCAGCTGTCCCAAAGCAATGCAATATACCATCATACAGAAGACAGGGTAGAATTGTACCTTACAGACCAACTAGATTAAAGATGTAGTTTAGGAAAACTTATGCAACTCATTTGCTACCCACAGCCAACCTATGGCCCCATGTCATCCAGCAAGCAGGGGTCCCCACAGGTCTGGAAATCTGGTGGTGGAAGAGGGGTAGCACCCTCCATGCCCCCACTGCCAAATTTCTGGACCCATGGGGAGCCCTGGGCCCTGAGCTCAGGATTGGGCAGCTGATTCTAGTTTATAGGGCTGGTCACCAGGCTCCCAGGACCTGGTGCCCAGCATGCTCAGGCAAGAGAGGGGCCAACGCCAGGCTCCTGGGCCCAATCTTGGTGCGTTAAGCTCGATCCAACCTAGTGACCAACCCCACACCATTCATCTGGCCCACTGAGTTAGTCTATAGAAGACAGAACTCCTCCCTCATCATCAGCAGTCCCTCACAGTTGAGGATGATTGTCTTCCCCAATTGCTTTATCTGCGGGTCCAAAGATGTCTGACAAGGCCAACCTGGGATCAGACTCAGTTGCAACTTGGGCACGTGTTTCTGTATGGCACTACCTTACCACGTGCCCGACTTCAGACTAACAGTCTCTCTCCCTGTGCATATTATCTTGCTATCAGATGCATGCAAAACTGGTAGCACTGAAGGCAGCACATTCAACTCTAAGATAGAGAAGAGTTTTGCAATGCTCTCTATTAACTCCCCTAGTCCAAGAACTACTGATCATCAATGCCCGAGTGCTGAACTGTATCCTACTTCATTGCAGTGTAGTAGCCTTAAAGACTCCCACAGTTTGAGAGAAATTATTTGTCAGAGATGCTTTCATTCTCAGACAGTGTCTTTTAGTCAAGAAATTTCAAATTTAAAATAATACTAGTACTAATAATATAAACACCCTCAAACAACTGCACTTTGGATGCTTGCTCGGGGGCCTGATAAATCAAATGGAGCCTAAAATGTCACAAGGATTAGCGTCCTTTACTCCCACATCAATGGTCCATCCCCCATTTCCTCCCCACCCCAAACTCAATTTAGAAGAGGGAACTACTTGGTTTATTTTTCATAAAGGATTGATGATTTGCTTCAGATATGGATTAGAATGCTTCATTTACACACCTAGCTGTGCCCCATCATCATAACGTAAAGAGAGGAGGCTAGGAAATGCTGCTGTCCCATAATAGAAATAGCAGTGATAACACCACCAGCGTAACAAATGCAGCCACAGACTAAAGCAATTGCTAAGAATGTGGTAACTCTTTCTAATGCTGATTTGATCATTTATTCATGAGATCAAGGATTCTATTTAACTTCTCTAATGCAGCAGAGTATCCATTTCTTATCTGACAGATAGCAAGGGTCTGATCCATTTCACCATTTAATCCTGTCCTGTAACTCATCTGAAGCTTTAGCTGAATTAATCTCATTGCTGAAGTCACTTTTCTAAATGCTGAATAGCATTTATGAAAACATAAGAAAACAAACACTAACAAAGCAGGAATCATTTTTTTTTCCTGGCTAGGCCATCTTCCCCTCCAAGCTGTTGATGCTAGTATAGGGCCTCTCTAAATTTTACCAAATTGTTATACTTTTTCTACAGAACATCCCAACCATAAGTTAGTTAAACAAAAAGTCAATAAAAAACCCACTGTTTTAAATGTGAACAGCTGCATTTTACTGAAGTCATTAATCTTATTCCAATTTATACTTCTATGTTATTCAGAAAAAATGTTCCTCTCAATCACAAAAAAAAGAGTAAAACAAGCAGTAGTTTTGATCATTAAAAATCAAAATATTAGAGAGAATGGATTTTAAAAAGTCTTCATGTTGCAAAATATACAAATGGATGGTACTAATACATCAAACTTGTGTCAGAATAGAAATCTGAGAACCAATCATGCAAAGTACAATTAAAAACAAAATGCAAAAATGTACGGCCTGCATTGTCAAGATTGACAAGCATATGCAAATAGTCAAAAACAGCACCCCAAAGTCTGAGGTATTAGCCTTTACTCTTGACTCAGGGCAGATGTCAGAAACTCAGAACAGCCTTCTCACCAAAATAAAAGGAAAAGGGACTTTACAAAGAAGGTCGGTCCAGTTGCCCACTTGAGTATATGAACAGCAGTAGTCAGCTTAGTTCAGTAAGTAAGCCACTTCCGGATGGAAATCTGGTACATCCTGTTGAGACAGCTAGTCATCACAGCTGACAGATGAATACACTTCACTATCTACCATTTTTTCTTTGGTGTGGGACACACTAGTTCACAAGGAAAAGTTCTGATGGACAACCAGATGGATTATTACAAGGCCAATAGGACAAAAGAAAGAAGGAGCTAGCAGCAGGAACCCAATTAATGTTGACCTCAACTTTCTATTACTATACCACACAGCTAGCCGTCTGCTTCCCTCAGAGAGATGCCAATGTCACTCTACCAAAGGCAACCAGGATTGCCTGGTTTCTCCTACATAGGTTTGCAGTAGCTAGCACTTGACAGAGGTGCATAGTGAAAGACATTCTGGGATTCAACAGCACAAAGTGCTCTTTCCACTCTTCCCACTTCATTTTTTGTTCCATTAATCTGGTTGAGGCATCCACCTATCTTCTACAATTGTCCCAGGGCTTATCTATGCATGGAAAATAACCTCTCCTAAATAACACCATAACTTGACAAGGCCTTGGTCTCATTTACAAACTTTCTATGGCTGGAATTTCAGATAATGGAGAAGCTGTACCAATCTACATTTTTCTTAACTGCCATGCGTAGTCTTTTGATGCTATTCTGTTCAATGCACTTCAATCACAGCAGTAGCACAGCATTTGCCAGGTATGCACAAAACACCATAGGGA